TATATGTAATTCTAGATAACTTTGAGGGAAATTCCACATATGAAGCTTCGTGGCATGATTGCTCAAAATGAGGTAATTGTTCTAATCGATTCCAGAGCAACTCACAACTTCATTTCTTTAAGTCTTGTTGAGAGATTGTCTAAACTAATTTTTCCCACTGCCGGGTTTGGAGTACAAGTGGGCACGGGAGAATTGGTAGGGAAACTTTGTCGTGAGGTTGCATTGAGTTTACCTCAATTAACAATTGTGGAAAACTTCTTGCCATTGGAGTTGGGAGGAGTGGATGTGATTCTAGGCATGCAATGGTTGGAAACTTTAGGGGGAATGCATGTGAATTGGAAGTCCCAATTGATGAAGTTTAAGATTCGGGGGGAGGCGGTTACGTTGCGAGGCGATATGAGTCTCTCTACCACTATGGTTTCTCTTAAAGCAATGTTCCGGACTATAAAGCATGAGAGACAAGGAATTTACTTGGAATTACAAGCCTTGGATGTGAACAAGGAACCAGACCAGTCGCTTCCTGCTCAGATCAGTGTCTTATTGCAGCATCATCCAAGGGTTTTGAATATGCCGGATGGACTACCCCCTCAACGTTTGCGTTACCATCACATTATTCTTCAACCGGGAACCGCTCCTATTAGTGTTAGGCCCTACAAGTATCCTCATTTTCAAAAAAATGAGATTGAAAAGTTGGTGCGTGAGATGCTAGTAGCTGGGATCATTTAACCAAGCAATAGCCCGTTTTCTAGCCCTGTGCTTTTGGTTAAGAAAAAAGATGGCAGTTGGCGTTTTTGCGTTGATTATCGCGCTCTCAATAAGGCTACAGTCCCGGATAAGTTTCTCATACCGGTGATCGAAGAGCTATTGGATGAATTGTTTGGGGCTACTATTTTTACCAAATTGGATTTGAAATCGGGTTATCACCAAATCTGGATGTGCGCAGAGGATATTCTAAAGACTGCTTTCTGTACTCATAAGGGCCATTACGATTTTTTGGTTATGCCTTTCGAGCTAACCAATGCTCCAGCCACATTTCAATCTCTGATGAATAAGGTAATAAAACCTTTTTTGCAAAAATTTGTGCTAGTCTTTTTTTATGACATCCTGATATACAGTAAATCCTTGGAAGAACATGTTGGCCACTTGGATCTGGTTTTGACTGCTTTGGAAAACAACCAATTATATGTTAATAAAAAAAAGTGCACTTTCGCTAATAGTCAGTTGGAGTATTTAGGTCACATTGTTTCTCGGGATGGGGTTTCGGCTGACTCCAACAAGATTCAAGCAATGTTAGATTGGCCTACTCCACATTCTATTAAGGAGTTACGCAGGTTCCTGGGTTTGACCGGTTATTACCGACATTTTGTTACGGGGTATGGTCATCTTGCTTGGCCATTGACACAACAATTAAAGAAATACAGTTTTAATTGGACGGATGAGGCTGAATCTGCTTTTCAGATGTTGAAACAGGCCATGACTACAGTTCCTGTACTCGCATTGCCGTATTTCTCTCAACCGTTTGTTGTCGAACCCGATGCTTCTGGATTTGGTATTGGCGTTGTTTTGATGCAACAACAGCGGCCTATAGCTTATTTTAGCCAGGTGTTGTCTCCTAGGGCTAGGGCTGAGTCGGTTTTATGAGCGCGAGTTGATGGCCGTGGTCCTTGCTATTCAGAAATGGCGGCATTATCTTCTTGGGCGGCATTTCATTGTCTGCACTGATCAAAAGAGCCTTAAGCTTTTGTTAGAACAACGGCTGGGTAGTGAGGAGCACCAGAAATGGTTGTGCAAACTGTTGGGCTATGATTTTGAAATTCAATACAAGCCCGGTTCCGAGAATCACATGGCTGATGCTTTATCAAGGCGGTCTGCTGGTTTGGAGTTGATGCATCTGTCGACTTCAGCGATTTACGATGGGGCTGAAATTCACCAACAAATTCTCAGTGACCCGAAGTTAGTTGTGATTCGGACTGCTTTGTTGAACAATCCAATGGTGGTGAAGGGGTTTTCTTTGTGCAATGACATGTTACTTTACAGGAATCATTTGGTCATTTCCCGGCAATCACCTCCCATACCTAGACTATTAGAGGAGTTCCACGGCAGCAAAGTTGGTGGTTATTCCGGAGTGCTTAAAACGTTTAAGTGGTTGTCTTCTGAGTTCTTTTGGTATGGTATGAAACAGGATGTAGTTTCTTTTGTTGCAGCTTGTCAAGGTTTGCCAGCAACACAAGTCTTCTACTTTGGATCCGGCGGGGGGGGGGGTCGGTTATTGCGACCCTTGCCACTTCCACAACAGGTGTGGGAAGATATTTCTATGGACTTTGTGGAGGGTCTGCCTAAGTCAACTGGTCATGATTCTATCTTGGTGGTTGTAGACCGATTGAGTAAGTATGCTCATTTTTTGGGTCTTCGCCATCCCTATACGGCTAAGTCTGTGGCTGCCCTCTTTGTTAAAGAGGTGGTTCGGCTTCATGGTTTTCCGACCACTATTGTGTCTCCGATTGTGATAAAGTCTTTCTCAGCCATTTTTGGAAAGAACTCTTTAGGTTGCAAGGTACTTCCTTACATCACAGCACGGCCTACCATCCTCAGTCTGATGGCCAAACGGAGGTGGTCAATCGCTGCTTAGGAGCTTATTTACGTTGTTTTGTCTCCAACAAACCTAACCAATGGTGGTCTCATCTTGCTTAGGCCGAATATTGGTATAACACCAGCTTCCATGTCTCTACAGGCATGACACCTTTTAAGGCTTTATATGGTCGAGATCCTCCCAAGCTACTCCGTTTTGAATTGGGGTCTACAGCTAATTCTTTGCTGGAACAGCAACTGCAGTCGCGAGATGCAATTATGGATGAGTTACACGCACATTTGCTTAAGGCCCAACAATCCATGAAAATGCAAGCTGATCTCAAGCGTCGGGATGTGTCTTTTGAGGTGGCGGATTTAGTGTTCTTGAAACTCCGGCCGTATCACCATCGTTCTTTGGCAAAGTTTGTCAACGAAAAGTTATCTCCCCGGCTTTATGGCCCATATCAGGTTCTCGCGCGTGTTGGGTCAGTGGCATATCGGTTACACCTTCCTACATCCGCGAAGATACATCCGGTTTTTCATGTCTCCAACTCAAGAAAGCTACTGGCCTCTCGGTCCCTGCACAGGATGTTCCTCCCATGTTTAACTGTTGATATGGAATTACGGGTGGAACCGGAATGCTTGTTGGCTATTCAATTTTCTCCTGTGACTGGCCAATTGGAAGTCTTACTGCAGTGGCGTCATTTACCTAATTATGAAGCTTCTTGGAAACTCTTTGATGTCATCCAGTAGCAATGTCCCGATTTTCACCTTGAGGACAAGGTGACGCTTTTGGGGGACAGAATAGTTGATAAGACTAAGCCGTTGCTTAGGCAGGTCTTCGTTAGGAAGGGCAGGAAAGAATAAAGGGGTGTGGGCATGTATTAGTTGTTGTTAGCAGTTAGAATTGTTAGTTTGTTAGCAGTTAGAAAATATAGAGTGTGAATAAGGGATGGGTCGGTGGAGGAGAGGGAATAAATAGAAACAGAGAGTAAGTGTCAAGGGCAGAAAAGAACTGGAGTCTTGTTGAGGAGGTCTTGGCTTAGGCTAAGCGGGGGAGGTTTCGCAGTACCTCGAAAAACTGTTCTGTAATTCGTTTTGGTGATTCAATAAAGATCATACCTTCATTCTTCTTGATTCATTTTTGTTTGAAGAAATTACTCTATTTTTATCAATATGATGCACCATCTAGCTTTTTGTTGCAATAAGTAAAATAAGTGCTGGAGAGCATGCAATCTTAAACTATTTTTAATAACCCAAACTACAGCATAATTGCTATCAGGGCACAATTACAGCGTCTGAAAAGTTTCTTTTAGCTTACAAGCCTCTGAAGCTGCTTTAGAGTATTGGATAGTTTTGTAAGAGTTTTACCTTATAAGAAGAATTTTAAGCCACATTTGGTCGAATATAGCTTCCTCGAGAAGCTTTTCAAGAACAACATGAAAAGCTTTTCAAGAACAACATGAAAAGCTTTGGGAAGGTGGCCTGGTGGGCAAGAGTTTTCAATAATTTTGTAATCCCAATATTACCCTTTTTGTTTCTCTGTAACAAAAATAATTATTACCTGTATTCCATTGAGTTCTAGTACAAAACAGTTTCTAAATCCCAATTTTTACCAAGAATCCTTCTTGAAGACAATTGTATCTGTAGTTTTCAATCAGCCAAGTATAGGTTCCTATAGAATGTCAAATTATAGTAAGAATTTAGCAAGCCACTTAGTCCAAACGAGGTAGGATGTAGGAAGGTTTATGTTTACATTCTAAAGATATCTTTTCTTTCTTTCCTACTGAGTTTGTTTTCCCGAAAATTGGAATATAAGGTGACTATGATAGCATACAATAGTATTACACAAATTGAAGTTTAAAGTTTAAACATCATGACAGACCTATTGACAAACCTAATTTTCTAGCCATTATAAGACGAATCTTGACTCGTTCAAGTGATGGTTTTCTTATTTTAGGTCTTCATATTAGCAGAGGTGGAGCCGGTCTTCTACTTCAGTGAGGGCATACACTAGTTGTCTTTTTCCTTTTCTTTTAAATAGAGAGATAAAAATAAAAAGATGTCAAGTTTAGTGGGGGTGTACATGAAAAAACCGAAGCAAATTTGGAAAATCGCAATTTTTTAAAAGTTATATATTTTTAAGAAAAAATTAGCAAGGGCGGCTGCCCCTGTCCCCCCTCCAGTAGCTGCACCACTGTCTATTAAAATTCAAATAGTGATACTTGTCTGAATACCATCAAGCTGTTTAAGATTCATAAATCCTTTATTTTATTGTATTTTATTTTTTTTGCTAAATGCAGGCTGTTTGGTTGATTAATAAGTAAACAGTGAAAGTTTGGAAGATTTATTATATAACATAAAGTCAAGACTCTCCTTATCAGTTTGCTGCTTTCCCTCAGTAAAACTAACTATTAATCTGAAATTTGCAGTAAAAGATGTACCAAATGGTAAACAAGCTTGGAAAGTCTTGGAAGATATTACAACTGATGTTGATCTTGTTTTGACTGAGGTTGCCACGCCTTGTTTATCTGGCATTGGACTTTTATGCAAGATTATGAGCAACAAAACTTTCAAGGATATCCCTGTGATTAGTGAGTATATTTCTAATATTCTATTTTTCTTATGTTACGGTTATTGCTCTTTCTTCTAGTATCTTTAGGGTGAGTTTTGTGCACAGTGATGTCATCTCATGATTCTAGGAGTATGGTCTTAAAGTGTTTATCGAAAGGTGCAGTCGACTTCTTGGTGAAGCCTATTCGAAAGAATGAGCTTAAAAACCTTTGGCAGCATGTTTGGAGAAAATACCACATCGTAAGTTTTCATTATTATGTCAACTATATTATTGACCTACTGTTCACTTTAAGGTTCAGGATTGTTCTCATTTATGCATTTAATTGCCAACAAGAACCAATTTTTGAACTATACTTGATCGAAAATGCCCCGATCTTTCCTTGGAGCACATCATTGGACTAGACTTAACCTATGAAAGTTTTTTATATCCGCAACTAAAAAAATTGAGATTTCTCCAAAATCATGTAGACAGCATACAAAGAAGAAATACAGAACTGTGCTCCTGCTGTGCAATTAATTTTTCATATTTTGATCAGTCTAGTGGTAGTGGGAGTGAAAGTGGCATATGGATTGAAAAACCAATTAAGTCAAGAACTGTAGAAGATTCAGACAACAACAATGGCAGCAATGATGAGGATGACACTGAAAGCATTGGTCTCGATTTCAGGGGTGAAAGTGACAGTGGAACTCAGGTATAAAAGATAATTTCTATTTCTATTTCTATGTATGGAGTTCTGCACTCTTACGTGCTAATGAATTAGGACTAAATCCAAGTTTCGTCAGGCATAGTTTGGATTTTATCCCCCATGAAAACCACGATTAGACCATGATAAAGAGATCATTCACATGTTTTCTCCTGCTGGAGGCGTATTTATGTTATTTTATGCATATATAAGAGGGAAGGATACTTAGAAAGATGAGAAAACAACGAAAGAGATTGGAAATCTTTCTGCTAATCTTTTCCAGAGCTCTTGGACGAGGGCAGTAGACTTTGAAAGCCCTCGAGCAATGCCACAACGGGACTGGTTAACTGATCCTCCAGATAGCACTTGTACACAGGCTATTCATCCAAGAGAAGAACCATTTGTCAACAACTGGCTGCCTGAGAGTGCAACAAGAACACCTGTTGGACAGGATGATGAGCTCGGTAGGCATCTTTTCATGCAATGTCTTCATAGTGTTCTCTTATTTTCTCCCTTCTAGAGTAACTTGGGATGCATTTAAATTGTTAGACAAAAAAATCATGGGCAAAGACTTGAAGATCTGCATATGTAGCATCCCGAGTATGCAGGCTGAAGACCCATGCGAAAAAGGATTGTCCAACAAGCCAGAAAAATCTATTGAACTAAACACGATGAAAAATGATGAGCAACTCGAGAAAGGAGAGCTGGACCTCAATAATGAGGATCCGAATGCAGAAAAGAATCAAGCTGTTCATCTAATGGGAGCATCCACTAATGGTATTGATCCTCACATCGAAAGTGTAGTCCTTGACATCTCAAATGGACTCTACAATGGCACTTTCATGAAGGATAAGGCCATCCATGACAATAAAGAGAGACCTTTCTTTGAGGTCATCTTAAAGAGGCCAAGAGATGTCCAAGATACGGAAAACAGAGCCCATGATCGAAATGTTATGAGACACTCGGACCTTTCGGCATTCTCAAGGTATAGACATACTCAAAATTATACATATTGTTGCGCCACAAATAACTCGATATAAGGATCAAACTAATTCTTAGCACCATGCAGGTACAATTCTGCTTCAACTGCAAACCAGGCCCCAACGGGGAATGTAGGCAGCTGTTCTCCTCTTGATAATAGTTCAGATGCTGCAAAAACAGAATCAGCACCAAATATTCAATCTGACTCAAATGGCGCACCTCCCAACCAGAGCTCCAATGGTAGTAGCAACAACAACGACATGGGATCCACAACAAATGATGTTTTCACCAAACAAGTGTCATTTGCAGATAAGCCAACACCCAAGTCATCAATCAAATACCAAACATCCTCCTCCTCCTTACAACAAGCGCATAACGGACAAGCTTTTCAGCCTACCATACAAGGTAAAATCTGATGCTAAATAGCTAATACAATTTCACAGAATCAAAAGAAACATCAGCATCAAATACATACATAACTATTAAACTCAACAGATCAGCAGCTATTTCTCCATGATGATTTGTCTTTATAATATATATGGCTGCAGGTGCTTCACAGTATGATTCATCGGATGTCTTGAAAGCACCTGTTGAAGGCATCGTCAGTAATCACAATCTCAACAGGAGTGCCTCGGGAAGCAGCCGCTGGAGCAATGGGCATAAGAAGACCTCCACTGCTTCAAATTCCAGACGGAAGAAAATGGGAAGCGGAAAAAGGATACCGGAAAAAAGGGGAACCAACGAGGAGACTGGATATGAAAACATAAGTGGAGAAGATGAAAATCGCTTTGCACAAAGAGAAGCTGCTCTAAGAAGATTCCGCCAGAAGAGGCAAGAGAGATGCTTTGAGAAAAAGGTAACTGGAATTTTGTCATGACATAGAAGTAGTGAGAAGCAACTATGTACTGGATCCTCACATTCTCTCTTCAAATTTTATGAAAAATTTTCTATTAAGAAGACAACCATAGACTATTTATAAAATTAGACACCGATCAAAAAAATCAACCGTGCAGTGTCTATGAAAGATGAATTTCTATTAGCAGTTATAGAGCTTTAAAACATCATTTTTGGGATCCACTGGTATGAAAAAAGTCAACTAAGTTCCTTGTAACAATCGATCATATTTACCATCTGTTCAGGTTCGATACCAGAGCAGGAAAAAACTGGCGGAGCAAAGACCGCGTGTTCGGGGACAATTTATCCGAAAGGGGATGCAGGATAACAAAGGCAAAGGAATAAGTTATGAACCTGATTCAATCCCTCAATAGGATAATTTACATTCCTTGATGAAGGATTTGGTATTTGCAGTAAATAAAAATAAAAGTAAAAATAATAATAATAATTACTACTTAAAGTACACATGGGAGTGCATCTGTACTTCTAAGATTTGTCTAGAAACATATTCCTATGGTTGTGGTAGTACTAAGTAGAAGGTGATAAATCCTATAAAGGAAAGCCTTCTCTAATAAATCCTTAAGAAGGGTGTACTATATATAGATGTGTGTGTGTGTGTGTGTCTACATATATATAATTCAAGACTGGAGTATTTAATTAGTGGATGGTTGAAGAACTCTATTTTCTTTACCTTCTTTCCTTTGGTGTGGTTTCCTGGATGAATCATTCCTGTTCTAATTTGTTCTCTTTTTGTCGATATATAGAGTCTTCGTATTGATCTCGAGCCAAAAGATAACTGTCCCTCTCACAAAAACAGAGGCCATAACATCTGCTCATTCCCTCTGAACAATAACACAAGATTAATTCCTTCCAAAAAAAAAAAAAAAAAAAAAAAAAAAAAAAAAAAAAAAAAAACAACACAAGATTAATAAAACCTCTCATATAATATTATCATACCATACGTATAAAAGCATGATAACATTGTGAAAAATAAAATGAAAACAAAAACGAAAAAAAAAAAGTTCAAGAGGGATGATATGGAGCAGAACTAGGAAATTCAAGAGATGACTGAATACGTTGAGAGCTTAAAAAAGGGAACTTTTTATTTGAAATATATATATATATATTATATAATTATATATATATATATTGGGTTGAAATATTTATCCATTTTGTATTCATTGATCAATTAGAGAGAGTGTAAGACGCTAACCAGAGCTGAGTCGTCCACCTCAAATTGAGCTGCAGTGGCAGAATATAAAGACAGGAATAAAAAGAGAGAACAAAGCCAATGCCCTTAATAGAATTTTATTTTATTTTATTTTTAGTTTCCGTATATTATCAATTAAAAATTCTTGTCCTCTATGACTTTTGGTACTAGCAAATGGTAGCAATATCACCTTCTCTCTCTCTCTCTGCAGGCTATACCACAGAGAGATCCCATTGTGGCAGTCACACAGTAGCACAAAGGGAAGGGAGAAGGGTAAAATGGTAAAATTAGAACCAAACCATGATTGCTGACATGGGGAGAAACGATTGGGTGTTTGATGGCAAAGAGCTTTTGTGGTGGGTTTTGTCTCCACGTGTGCCATTTCGCAGCGCTATTCGATTTGTGTTCTGAATGGAATGCTCCGGGCCACTCATTTTTTGATACGAATCCAAGAGAGAAAGAGAGTAGAGACTCGTTTAGTTTAGGGGTTGTTTAGTTGGAAAATTTATACTCCGATTTGAATCATGGTTCATAGTTTATAATTTGTTACAGTGTTTTTTTTATAAAAAATACACGTAAATAAAAAATGGTTCTAATCTTATGATTCTAATCCATGAACCAAACGTCTCCTAAGTGATTTAAATTTTTAATTCGAATTAAAATATGATTTTATGTTAAAATTTTTTACTATAATAAAAAATTATATGTGACTGTTTTTGAAAACTTTTTATTATAATAAAATTTAAATTTTAAAATCGAATCGGTGAAACGAACATGACCTAAGTTTAAACTCTGTGTATAATAAACATATCAATTTTAATTATATTCTCGTTTAAACTGTTAAATTTAAAATTTAACTCTCCTCATTCGAACCATTTTTAAATAATAAAAAGATGCCTTTTTTTTTACTTTTTACATTTTCATTTGCACTTAAATTTTAAAAAAAATTCAAACTCAAGTTATAACTTTATTCAAATTTATGTTTTTTTATAAAATTTGAGTTTTAACTTGAGTTTGGGACTAAAATTTGAGTTCAAGTTCCTCCTTCAACTCAAGTTCCTAAACTCAAACTCAAGTTAATAAACAATATTTTTTATATTCTTAAAAACGTCATAACTTTTTCGTTTTAATTCCGATTGAGATGATTTTTTCTATGCGTTCACAACGAATAGACGAATAAAATCTCACTCATAGACCATATTAAAATTGTATATCACCATTTAGTTTTGATTAAAATACTATATATATATATATAAATTCAAGTTTTGACTCACTCAAATACAAACTCAAATAGATTCTGAATTCAAACAATAACTCAAAATGTGCACATCCAAACACAAACTCAAATTAGAGTCTCAACTCAAACCATACTCAAATCACCTTAACTCAAAAAATCAAATAAACAGCCCTTTAAACACAAATTTAAGTCTTATTCCATGTTTAAATGTACACTTTAACTATACATCTAAATACAATTATAATTTAAACACAGTTTAAATCTTAAACAGTTTAAATTAACATAATTTGAACTAACAAACTAAATAGGAAAAGAAGTTGACCCATTTCACTTGGCGGCCAGAGTTTCACGAGTCGCAATCGAGCATCTACCCACTCATACTAGGGGTGTAAGAAATGAGTCCAAACCCAAATAACCCGGGCCGATCCGACCCGAAAGCATAGGGTTTTTTTTTTAAAAAAAAAAATTAGATTCAAATAGTCCCAACCCGCACTGTGCGGGTTGGGGGGCTAGGCGAACATTTTGAACCTGCTTTGCCCCGACCCAACCTGATTTAGGTGTGTAACCCTAAATCCCTAAATCTATTTTGCTGAACTATCTCTATATGGACTATTTATTTGACGTATTGTTAATTTTATTTCTGGACTTTATTGAGTGTTAAGAAGTATGTTTGATATTATGTTAATATTTATGAAATGTTTATGGATTTTATGCTTTTAGATTGTTAAAAAAGGTATGAAGTCATAAATTAAAATTTATTTTCACCAACCCGAGCCTACCCGAAGTCACCCGACAGGTTACGGGTTTGTCGGCTTAAGAGAGTGTTGCGGCCTAAAATTTTCTCAACCCGCACTGAGCAAGTCGGCTCAATTTTTTAACTCAATCCGATCTTACCCGGCCAAATTACACCCCTAACTCATACTATGGCCTCTGCTAGTCGTTCTCATCAATTTTCCTCTTAGCTTATTATTACACACATGTTACGTTGTACCCAATTTTGGGTTCACTTCTTTTTGCTATGGAAAACAACTTGAGTCTTAAAAAAATAGCGAGAAAATTATAAAAATATTTTTTTAAGTGCTTAATTTATTAAAAATATCTTTTTGAAAAAAAAAATTGCCATCAATGGTCCTTTACTCTTTAATAAGTGATATTTTGTTCTTTTTTTTTTTAATTTTAACAAAAAGGTCTTTAAATTCTGAAAACGTTGGCAATTAAGCCATTTCCATCACACTTTCGCTAATTATAGCAGAATCATACGCGTGACCATCACATACCTCTTTTATAATAGAAAGACAAAAAATACTCTCTGACCTCAACAAAAAAAAAAATCTAATATCAGCTACTACTCTTCTTCTTCTAACATAAAATTTTTCTTCATCCCATGTCAAGAAGAAATGATACCTTTGTATATCATTTATGTCCATTTCTGATAATGGAACAACCCGTATCTGCACCTAATATGATATTGTCTGCTTTAGAATTGTACAATTTATCTTTTTTTTAGGCTTGTTATAGCCATCAATCTCTTGAGGCACAGGGCCACAAAAGGGTAAGTTGTGCAATCTCACGTCGTCTATGGATGAAGATAGATCTTGATTTATAAGAAATGACATTACATCTCAATGGTATGAGGCCTTTTAAGATGAAGTTCAAAAATAAAACCATACAAGCTCAAGCCTAAAATAGAAATATCATACCAAATAGAGCTACGAGTTGTTATAAAAAGTTATCTTTACACATGTTTTAGTTTCTTATTTATATTTTCTTTATAAATGTTTTTTTACAGTTTGTTTTTTACGTTTATTTTGCTCCTTTTATTTTTTTCATTTTTTTTATTATTTTACCAAGTGCTCTTTTATAGTTTAATATTTTAATGACTATCATTATATCCAATATAACATCTTACGTGTATAACTAAGTAGACTTGGCGCGTGACCTCCTCCTCCTCCGCCCCTTCTTTTTGTACTCTATTTTTTTTCAGTTTTTCTCTTTTCCTCTTTTTTTAACCTTTTGTTTTTTTAATGTTTTTTCCTTTTCCTTTTTCTCCATAATAGTCTTTGGAAATTTATTTTTTTTTTTAATATCCTCTTTTGACATACTTTTTTTTTATTTTTTTAAATTAAAATAATTCCTTTCAAATATACTCCTTCTTAATTTTTTTTAAAAATGCTAAAATATTGTACAATACTTTTCAATATCCATTACGAACATATTTGTCCATCAAAGTGGCATCCTACGATGGATAAATAAACAAACTCACTTAGTGCTGGAACTTTGGACGAGCCGCCCGCGATCGTCCGAAATTATCGAGTTTTTACCTGAGCCCGAGCCCGACCCGCTCGAAAAATTCAGCTACGATGGATAAATAAACAAACTCACTTAGTGCTAGAACTTTAGACAGGCCGCCCGCGACTGCCTAAAAATATCGAGTTTTTACCCGAGCCCGAGCCCAACCCGCCCAAAAAATTTGGGCCGCCCGCCCGAGCCCGAAAATGCCCTTGAACGGGCCGTGGGCTTATATTTGGCTACCCGAACCCGGCCGGGCCACCCGAGCCTGCCCGAATAGCCTGATTTTTTTTTAATATTTTTTAATTTTTATAATTATTAAGTTAGTTTGTGTTAAAATTATATAAAAATCAAAATCAACATTCAACATACATTATTAACACAATTGAATAAATTAATCATGTATATTAATGATGTATATTAAATTCGTAATTCATGATTGTCTCGTTAAAAACCTTACCAAGAAAAATCCAATTGGGATAAAAACTTGGCAAAGAAAAAAGAGTGCAATCATTTTGTGACGAATTACAAATTTTACAAACTTACAAAGTTATACAATTACAAATACAATGTCAAAAGTAAATACATATTTACAAATTACAAATTTACAATTTAATTTGAAGCTGAAGGATCGTCTTTAAAATTAAATGTTAATCAATTAAATTCATCGATCCATTGTTGGCTTGCCGGCGAAATTGTATTCTGTAGACGTTGATCGGCCCGATCCCAATCCTTAATGCAAACCAAGGCTTCAATAATATCCCTTTGCAATGCATTCAGGCGTTCCTCAAGTATTCTTCCTATCGTACTGAAGGCTTGTTCGGATGAAATAGTGGAGACTGGGATCGAAAATATATCCATTACCAATCGAGTTAGGATTGGCCAAGTTAATGCATGTTCCCTCCACCATTGAACTAAGTCAAACGATTATGCCGTACCGTCGACTACTAAGCCTTCACTGAGGTACGCCATAAGCTCGTTGAAGCTGCCGCCACCGCTACCACTGCCACTTGTTGACGAAGATTCACTCCTAGCTTTTGTTTGAGTTGTCTTCTTCTTCTTCTTCAACTCGAAAACATTCAAGAATGAATGCAGGTTTTCGTCTTGTTGTTGCAGTTCCTGTACTCTAGGAGGTACTCAAACCTAATCTCATATTTACTATATATTGAAAATATTTTTTCCTTTATTATTGGATATTGGTCCTAACAATTGATGCCTAAAAATTCACTTAAGTTATCTAAACCACTTTCTAAACCTTCTAATTTTAATCTAGATCAAAAATAGTACATAAACCATACAACAAAGGCAACTTAGACCAATATTTTATAAATTTTTTTTCCATTGAATGAATAGGAACTGCTAAGATTGGGTCCTCTCTATATTCGCTAAATAAAATACTAATTCGTAAAAGTACTCCTAAAGCTAAATGTGATGTTGGATAATATGTTCCACTAAGTTTTAGAGTCACTTCATGAAACCTACCTAAAAATTGATACAAAATTTCGGTAATTTGCCAATCATATGCGTCTATATGATTTACTCCTACTTTTGCACACATATAGTTTGTTATAGTATCCTTATAGGGGATGCATTGTTGAAGTATTATGTAAGTTGAGTTACATCTTATAGGCATATCTAACGCT